CTGGAGGAACCCGCTGCTGGTTGCTAGAACTCTTCTTCCTTTGCAGTTCAATGCTTTTCAGTATTTAGCTCCCAGATTCTGGCCGGCGCGGCTCCTCTGAGTCGTGATCTCTGCCTCCTCCACTCAGTGAGGCTCCTGGCTGTCTTGAGTTTCCTCCTCCTCCTCACCCTGGAAGCTTCCTCTGGGTGGGGACAGCTACAGGGCTCCCTGCTCTCATGTCCCCTCCATCCAGGATTGCGGACGCCCATTGCTTTTCACCCAGTGTCTGACCGCTGTTGCCTCATAGCCGTTGTCTGTTTATTCCATCGTGGCTGAATCAAGAGTGTCTCTGGGTGGTTTGATGTCCCACTGTCATTGAGAAATGCCACTTTGGGCTTTGCTGAATGTTTTCCAGTGGTTGGGGTAAGTCCTTAGGTCATAGGAGAAAGTACTCAAGTTTTCAGTGCTTGGGCTTCAAGATAACTTTCTGTAGGGAATGAAGCAGGCAGTGAGACGAGACAGGAAGTAAAACAAACATTCCCTTTCTTCTCATGTTTCCCAAAGGGCATGAAATGATTTACCTTTTCTAAACCAAGCTGAAGAGATGTAGCCAGACTGGAGTCTTCAGAATCTCATTTTTCTTCCTGAAGTCTCGGCCCACCTATGAGATTTTTGCCAGATTTGCTGGTGGCTCCGGCTGTAGTGAAGGCACAGAGCTCTCCATGTCAAAAGGGTTGAGAAAAGGCCATTTGACAAAGGACAACACACATTTCTCTTTTTTTTAATGTTTATTTATTTTTGAGAGAGAGACAGAGCGTGAGCAGGGGAGGGGCAGAGAGAGAAGGAGACACAGAATCAGAAGCAGCTCCAGGCTCTGAGCTGTCAGCACAGAGCCCAGCATGGGGCTTGAACTCATGAACTGTGAGATCGTGACCTGAGCTCAATCGACTGAGCCCCCCAGGCGCCCCAGGACAATCAGCATTTCAGTTAGGCTTTGCCACCCCACAGACAGATCAGGCCCCCTGCCTCACCTCCGGGACCTGCTTCCTGCCCGAGTGTTTCCTTGGTGCTCCTCCAGGAAAAACCTCAGCCACTCACCTCGCTGACAGTGGCTCGTAGTCTCCGTTCAAATGCAGGAAGAGGGAAATGATGAAGCGCCCACCCTTGGGTCTCAGTGCCGCCCACCCTTCCAGCCCCCCCCCCCTGCGTGTGTCAGTGGGAAGCTGGATGCCAGAGGGCAAGGTTCTCAGGAGGCACAAGGGGTCAGAGGGCTGAAGCCCGTTTGGTTGCACAGGGCAGCACCTCTGCTGATGAGGTCTCCAAATTAGCCGCGCTACGAATGCTTTGTTATCGGTGACGTGCAGCTGGACCCAGAGCGCTTGTCGTCTCCTGAGGTCTGTGTGACACTGCTGTGGCCAACATCCGTCGGGAAATTGGGCACGGGTGGGCCCCCACTTCCACATCTCAGCCAGAGCAAGGGCAGGGCGTTGGAAGATGAACGGGGTGGTGTGGCTGAGTGTGAGGGTGCTGGGCTGAGTCTTCTGGGGTCTTGCTACATGAGTGACCTTGGAAAGTTTCTTGACATCTTCGAGCCTTAGTTTCCCCATCTGTGCTCATGGAAGCGTGATGATATCTACCTCCTGGGTTCGCTATAGGGATTAAGGGAGATTATTTAAAGGGCTGAAGCCTCAGGCCTGGCACAGAGGCACATTCCATACAAGTGAGCTGTGGCTGTGGAAGTTCCGGTACCCCTTTTTCTGCCATCCCCAACCCTGCTCTGAGGCCGTGGCACAAAGCTGCAGCCCCTGGGCCCAACCTGATTGTAACGGGTGCTTTAAGGATCCTGGTCCTGGCAAGCAGCCCTGTTTAAATTGGGGTGGACATCCCCACCCCTCCTTCCCCGCGCTGAGTGGCAGGCGACAGGGACTTCGGACCTTCTGTGCTCTTGGCTCAGGGTAATCTCCATTCCTCAAGCAACTCAGATACTAGTCAGCAAGTTGGCCCTGAGCTGAATGTCCAGTTTCCGCTCAGAGCCCACCCAGTTCTGTGGTCAGCTGCGAAGTCCACCTTTGACAAGACACCGCTGAGGCTGCGAGTCCCTACACATGTGATCCCTGTCCGGCGAAGCCGGGGCCAAGGCAGCAAGTATTAACAGGGCGTTTTCCATGTAAGATGCGCCCTCCCTTGGAAGATCTGCAAGCATGTACGGAGTTTACCACCCCAGGAAGGACCAAATGGCCTTCACACTTCAGTGTCCTCCAGAATCCTTAGGAGAACGTTCTAAGAATGTATATCCCTGGGCTCTGGGAAGGCCGGGGTCCAGAAACTCCTGTTTTTAACATGAAATCCAGGTGATTCTGAAGCAGGTGTGAAATCGTGATCTGGGATTTCCGGACTGTTATTTCCCAGTCATAAGAACCAAGGAAACGACGAAGAAGCCCAAGGGACTCGGCTGTGTTGAGAAGGCAGGAGCCAAGGGGCGTGGAGCGGGGGAGGGAGGCACGGCCAGAGAGGACGGTGGCTGGGCCACTGTGTGCCGGGATCACCGAGAGACAGCGACGGAACAAAAGGGCTGTTGTTCGATCCCTGAATTGCCTCATTGATCCTCACCACAGCTGTGTAAGGCACATGAGCCCTGTTTTTCCAAAGAGAAAGTTCTGTGAGCCCCGACAGCAGATGCAGGCTGCACGGGGACACGGGAGCAGTGGGAGGAAGGTCCACCTCAGTTATGTCCAGCGCTGAGGTGGTGCTCCTGGCCTGGCGTTGGGGAGCGGGGACATGGGCAGCAGTGGGTGGGACCCAGGGGCCTTCAGGGCTGACCGTAGGCAAAGCACCTGTGCTGGAATCGGGTGGTAAGAGGCAGTGATACACCTGCTCTCCATCTGCTTTAGGAACCGTTCCTTCCTATGGCTCTTCACCAGGCCCTGCCTTCTGGTTCTTCGGGCCCGCGCAGGGGCTCACGCCCCTCTGTGCTGTCCCACGCTCACGTCCCTTTCTGGTGGAGCAGATGGATTAAAGAGGAAATATTGGGCCGGCCTGTTTAAAAAAATATTTATCAAGGCCCTACTCTGTGTCAGGAGCTGTGCGAGGCGCTGGGGACACAGACGTCCAAATGGCAGGGCTCCTGGCCCTGCGTATCACCTGCTGAGGGAGGCAGTCACCCCAGTGAGTGCCGAGTCAGGGTGTCTACACTTAGCTGTGGGTCCGGAGAACTCGGCAAGGATACACAGGGAAGGAGACATTCGGGCATGTTCTTCATGGAAGACTGGGCGTTTCCTGTGACTTCCAGGGAGAGTGAGAATATGGGGGCACAGGTGGAGTGACAGTCCCTGGGAAGCGGCCCAGGAAGACCACTCCTAAGTGGAAGCCCATGGTCTCTAGAATTGCAGCTAGAATTTGCAGGGTACAGTTTCTGAGAGGAGGGAGCCATGCAGAGAAAGAGGTTCAGAAGTTGGGGCTGCGGTTAAAAACTAATGTTATGTGTGAGAACCCACAAGGCCGGACAAAGAACAGCTCACAAAGAAGGAACAGCTACTGGGAAGTTGTAAGATGGACACTTCTGGGAGCTCACTCGGGGCAGTGGGTCATTAAGTTCCCCACCATCCAGGATGGAAAGACCTCACTGAGTACAGGATAAATTCAGTAGAGATTCTAGAAGGGTCAGGCCTTGGAAGTATGCTAACTTAACCCTCAAGTAAAGGCTGGCCTAGATCCTGTAACAATGTTAGAAGCAGATCTTGAGAGAATCGAGCTCCTCCACAAGTGGTCTAAAGACCACTGCCAGAACAGAGTTCAGTACTCTTTAAAGGATTACAACAAGATTCAGCAAGTGATAATATAACATTAGAAATATTGAGCATCCAGACAAAGCTTACTAGACATCCAAAGGACTTAACGAGGAGAAATCATGATTAATAGAAAGAGATTTATAAATGACAGAGATGATGGAATTAACAAGCAAGGATTTTTTAAAAAGCTGTTATAAAACTATGGTTTTCCCTTTATTTTTGTTTATTTTTTTACTTAGAGAGAGAGAGATTGAGCGCACGTGAGTGTGAGCATAAGCCGGGGAGAGGGCCACAGGGAGAGACAGACAGACAGATAGATAGAGAGTATCCCAAGCAGGTTCCACGCTCAGTGCGGAGACCGATGTGGGGTTCAATGCCATCACCCTGGAACATGACCTGAGCTGAAATCGAGAGTTGGTTGCTCAAATGACTGAGCCACCCAGGCACCTCTATTGCTTCCCCTTTAAATTCAGGGGTTGAAGGGAAGATACCATCATCAAGGGGAGAGAAATAGTTGATAAAAAATGAAACAACTTGCAGAGAAGAAAAAATAATGATGCTAAGTGAAATGGAAATTTGACTAGCTGCGGTTAACAGGAAATTGGATGCTATAGAAGAAAAGTCAGTGAAATTTCAAAAGTGAAGTCAAAAGAGAGAAAGGAAAGAGTGGAGAGAGAGGAGGGAGGGAGGGAGTTGGGGGTGGGGAGAGACAAAGGGAGAGAAGGGGAGAGAGAGAGAAAGAGAGAGAGAACAGAGCCTGAGTGACCCCTGGAAAACATCAGTATCAAGAGATCCAACACACATACAATTAGAATCTCAGAAAGAGTGGGGAGGGCGTGAAGGCAGGAAAATGACTTGGAGAAACAATGGCTGAAAAATTTCCAGATTTAATGGGACACACGTCAAAGCACTGCTTGTCAGGTGTATGTATTTCCGGAGGCCAGATCGTCAAGATTGGCCCCTGGCTTGTTAAATGCTATATATTTCATTGTTTCCCAGTGGTGGTCACAGTGTTTTCAATCAGGGTTCTTCAGTGCAAGGAGTAGGTTTGTTTGCTCGTGGTCGCCATTTATAATTAACTGAGGCAGTTTGCTCATTTACTTATGGCTGAGATAATGTCAACTAACTGTAGGATTGCTTCAGCTCTGATGGGCTCTCAGAAAAGGGAAAACCTATTTGACAGATGCTTTTTATTTTTTCTCTTCCTGCAAAACAAATGACCACACAATTGGCTTACAATGACACCTGTTTATTCTTTCACGGTTTTGTAGATCGGAGATGCTGTTGGGGGTTAGTTAGTCCCTCGGCTGAGGTCTCTCCAGGCTGAGTCAAGGCGTCATACGAGGCTGTGACTTCATTTGAGGCTCGGAGGGCTCTTCCACTATCACTGCTTATTGTCAGAATTCAGTTCCTTGTGGTTGTAGGGCTGAGTCCCTATTTTCTTGGTGGCTGTCAGCGGGCACTCTCCGCTCCTAGAAACTGTCCTCGGGTCCTTGCCATGTGGCTCCAGCCATAGGCAGTTCACAACATGTTTGCTTTTTCATGGTTGCAAGGACAATCTGCCCCTTTGAATCTCTCTGACTGCTTTTAGAGACGCGACTGATTAGGCCAGGCCCATGTGGTATGATCTCCCTTTTGATTAACGCAACATCAACTGATTAGCAACCTTAATTCTCCCTGCAAAGCCCGTTTTGCCGTATAACATAACTTCCTTGTGGAAGTGAGAGCTCATTGTAATCACAGGCTCAGCTCACACTGAAAGGAAAGAGAACGTATGGGACGTGTGTGGGAGTCTTGGGGGCTGTCTTCGCATTCTGGCTACACTATATTTTAAATGTTTGCATCTGTCAAGAAAAGGAAATTGAAGGAGGCCTTGGAATTGAAAGCGTGTAGGTTGGAGCCTCTGTCTAGGAGGAGGTCCATGAGGAAAGGTGCCCGTGATCTGCCCTGGCTCACCACTGTGCTCCCAGCACAGCTGGAACATTGGGGGACGCATGTGTGAATGAATGCGTACATAGATGAATGGATAAACAAAAGCATAGGAGGTGCATTTGAGATGAAAACCTGGGGCCAGATTGGTGGCAGTTGAGGACTTTGTGCATGCATGGGGTCTTCCTCTGATGCAGGAAGCCTCCTTTCTTAGGCTCCTTACAGATTCACTCATTTTGCAGAGATCGACAGGCAGACCTCAGCTTGATGTAGCCTGAGTGAAGGTCGAAATAGAGGTCCCTTATTTCATTGCCCTTTTCCAAACACAGAAGTTAATTTTCTCTCTGGGGTTCTAATTCACATCCCTTCTCCATCCAGAGAGGACTTTAAGACAGCTCTGAAAATAAGCATCTTGGCAAGCATCGAGAATTTAGGGATAATAATTTGTCAGAGAAACAAATAGGGTTGAAGACAAATGGGGGAATTATTTCCTTAAAGCCAACAACAAATTGCTTGCCATTCTCTATGGAAGACAAGAAGCATCTGCCCAGCAAATCTGCCTGCTGCCAGCGGAGAGCAGGTTAGGCCCAAGTGGCTACTCTCTGATGGGGGTCAGGTGCCTCTGATCCAGCCCACTAGTCACTGAAAGCTCATGAAACCCATCATTTTAGCTACAAATGTGCCCAACTCCTCACTCATGAGTTCTAGACACTGGACACGTGGTTCTGGAATAGCTACTTCACTCTGCTCGATAGTGTTGGAGGATGCCTGTTACAGGTGGTGGTAAGCTGGGCCCTGGGTGCCACAGGGCTGGGGTCTCAGTTGATGGACATGCAGAGAAGGGCCCAGGAGCATATGGAAACAAAACTATGAAGATTTTGCATGAAATAGTTACAAGGTGTGTGGGTATTTTCTCAGGCTTGCCTCCGTACTCTGGGGGGGCCGGTGTACAATGAGCAATGTCCTCATATTAGGACAGCAGGGGGAAATAGTCATTCCTGGCACTAAAGTATGTCTCTTTCCTTCCTTCTATTGTCTCTTTCTTGATTTGCCCTGATGGTTTTTTAATGTGTTCTTGAATGTTGGCTTAAGTGAAGAAAAATTAAGATTTTAAATTATTTCCATGAATTTTAATGTTAATCTTTATATTGCCTAATGCCATTTCTCTCTCTATTTTTTTTTAAAAATTTTTTAATGTTTTATTTATTTCTAGGAGAGAGAGAGAGTGTGAGCAGGGGAGGGTCATAGAGAGAGGGAGTCACAGACTCCGAAACAGGCGCCAGGCTCTGAGCTGGCAGTCAGCACAGAGCCCGACGCGGGGCTCGAACCCACGAACCGCGAGATCATGACCTAAGCAAAAGTCGGACGCTTAACTGACTAAGCCACCCAGGCGCCCCCTCTCTCTCTTTTTTAAAAGTTTATTATTTTGAGAGAGACAGAGACAGCACAAGTGGGGGAGGGGCAGAGAGAGAAGGAGAGAGAGAGAATCCCAAGCCGCCTCTGTGCTGCCAGCTTAGAGCCCAACATGGGGCTTGAACTCACGAAACCGTTGAGATCACGACCTGAGCTGAAACCAGGAGTTGGATGCTTAACTGACTGAGCCACCCAGTTGCACCTGCCTAATGCCATTTCTAACACAAATATAAAAGCCCTTCACTCATATGTGGAATCACTGAAATGACTCATTTTTATTGTGTTAATCCCACACCTGCATGTATGTATCTTATGCTCACTAGAACAATGGAAATACTGCAAAAATCAACTCAAATTTTTGTCTCATTCCATGATAGAATCTTATTCGACCAACACTCCTTCAGTTGTCTGCTGAGTGAGGAAGGGCTGAGAGAAAAGGGAGTCCCGTCTCGCCCTCTCCTTGGGAGCTGTCATCTCCAGCAGAAGCAGGTGGCTAACATGGGGACGTAGCATGAGTAAGAAAGGATATAAGAGAGGGGCACCTGGGAGACTCCGTTGGTTAAGCGTCTGACTTTGGCTCAGGTCATGATCTCGCGGTTTGTGGGTTTGAGCCCCACATCAAACTCTCTGCTGTCAGCACAGAGCCCACTTTGGATCTTCTGTTTCTCTCTGTCCCTTTCCCACTCATGCTCTCTCTAGTTCAAAGATAAACATTAAAAAAAAAAAAAAAAGATATGATAAGGTTGTCTGTTCATTCATGTTTCCCAGAAATCCACTGCCTTCTTTCTGCATTTGGAGAATGCAGTGGGAGGTGCGACCTCTTGGGGCCATCGGCCCTTGGCTCACTGGACCCTAGATGTAGGAGCTCACCTTCTTTCCCCTTTGAGTCTTGCTGAACTTCCATGCCTGGTAGGGTCACCAGAGTTTTGTGCGTGGGGGGCACCTGAGTACCATCTGTGACTGGGGCAGCAGGAAAATCAGGAAACACACACCTTTGACCTATCTTCTGCTCCCACGTGTGCTCTACTGTCCCATGGAATTTCATTTACAAAACTAAGTTCAAAGATAAAATTATTTAAAAATTCGAAGTGCCGATACCAAAGCACTGGCTACGGAAGACAGACATAAATTGGACTTCATCAGACATGAAAAACTTGTGGACATCAGAGGACATTATCAACACAATGAGAGGAAGCCCCGCCTTTGACATGGATAAGCCTGGATGATGTTACGCTAAGTGAAATAAGCCAGCAGCCAAAGGACCACTATGGATCGACTCCCCTTTCATGAGGGACCTGGAATGGTTACATTCACTGAGACAGAAAGTAGAAGGCTGGCTGCCAGGGCTGTGGGGAGGGGAGAGTGGGAAATTACTGTTTAGTGGTACAGAGTTTCAGTTTGTGGAGATGGAAAAGTGCTGGAGACAGACAATGGTGATGATCGTACAACCTGATGAATGAACTTAGTTTTGCTGAATTATGCACTTACTATGCTATGTATGTTTTACCACAATTAAGAGAAATTCAAGATGGCGACATTAACGTCCCACGTGGCCCTTCTGAGTACAGGTCCCTGTGCCCACTGCCTGGCTCTTATGCCTGTGAAGCTGGCCCAGCACGAACTTGTATTTATAAATGTTTTAAGATGATTCTCTTTCACTAGATGATGAAATCTCTGAGGTCAGGGTCTCTCTTATTTCTCTCCCCAACTCTGCGTTGAATTGAAACTCTTAGCTAAATTGGAAGTTATTCATGACACTTTAAAAAAAGTCAGTCTTATGCACAATTTACATACATTAATATTCATACATTTTATAAGCATAGAGTTCATTTTGTTTTGACAAATGCATACGGTCATGTAACCAGACCAAATCATGATGGAGGGCACATCTATGACCCAGAAATTTCCCTCGTGCCCTTTGCACTCAACACCTTCCCCCAGCTCCTCCCCAGGCAGCCACTGATCTGCTTTCCACCACTTTACTTTTGCTTAAGTCTGCCATGTCTGTAACTGGAATCAGCCAGCCTGTGTGTGTGTGTCTATGTGACTGTAATAAGTTTCCATTACAACCTTTGGCATCTTAATTAAATGGATGACATTCTGTTGGAGCAGCAGGGGTGTGAGGGCTCAGCCCCTGATTCAGGTAAATGTAGATTTTTATCCCGACTCTGCCATTTCCTAATGCTGACTTTGCGTGAACCCTTACTTTCTCTAACATCCATTCCTTCATGGACAAAGGGGAGTTGATAGTGGTCCCTTCATCCTGGTGCCTTTGTGGGGGTTGAATGAAGTGGTACATGAAAAGTGCTCAGGGCAGAGACTGGCTCATTGAGGTAGCTCAGTAACGCTTAGTTGTTCATCATACTATTACAGACGCCATCATTAACAAGAATTCTAAGAATGGCATTTCCTCACTGCCACAATGGCATTGGTACTTTTCTTCTGATGTTGCCATGGAGATCCCATAATGCCCAGGAAGCATTTAGCAGGGTACCTGGCACTTGGTAAACACCCTATCATGTAGCTGTTGTTATCATTCTGTTGTCCAGCCATTGAGGACCCTAGTCTGCTATTCCTCACTAAGTAAAAGTCATCACCTTCTCTAATTCAGAGAAGGCGTGAAAGGGCTCCATTTAGATTGCTTTCTGCCAGTCTAGGTGGAAAAACAAAAAAAAAAAAAAAACAAAAAAACAACCGCAGAAAGCAGCCACTAGTGTGAGATAGCGAGGCTTTTCTCCCAAGGACCCAGGGGAGGAGTTCCATGTGAACAGGTGAGCCAGAGGACAGGAAATACCCTAGTCCCCCCCCCCCCTTCTTGTTTTTTTGTCTCTGTTCTTTTGAAAGAAGAAAGAAGACAACAATTGAGTTAAAAGTTGTAGGATTGCGTGGGCTATTGAATCCTCAGAACTTTCTGAGGTGCTCTGCAGTCAGGGTGACTCCATTGTATTTGATTTGGAAGTACTTGGAGTAGTTTGGGACTCTAATTGAGGGAAAGTAGACAGTGACAGTAAACAATTACTGGGGAAAGAAGTTTCCACCTGGTGCAAGAGATGGATTCCGTTTCTGGAATCCTCTGGCTCACGTTTTAAAGTGAAGAGAAAATGTTGCAAATGATGGGAAACATAATAGAACATGCTGAAAGGAATACTTAAGGAATCAGGGGAAATCTACCTCTTTGATATACAAAATAGTTCGGCTAAATTTGACTTTGTAACTGGGTAATTAACATGCCCGGATGATGGCGTTCGTTTCCCCCCATGCCTGATGTTTGCATAGAAATCTCCAGCCAAGGGCTTCGTCATTGCTGTTCTCATTTATCCCTGCAGACAGACAGGGTCTGCAGTCACCCTGGTGGGAAAACGGAGCGTGAAATCTCATCAGGCAGCCCGGGGAGCCTGCCTTCCTCCGTGAGTCTCACAAGAGGAGGAATGATGGAAATAATGTATTCCTTGCATCCTGATTTGCCTCCTTTTCGAACCAGGACCCCATCCGACTCCACCCTTGAAAACAAGGTGAAGGAGAAGCAAGGAGAGACGGAGGTGTCTTCTTCGTTCAGCTCCTAACAAGGGAACCATCCCGCCATTTGCAATCAGATAAGGGATATTATCTTCATAATCACAGGCAATTGAGAATCTAAATGAAAAAATCTAATGCTTTTCATGCTGATTTATTTTAGATTAGAAAAAGTTAAACCAGATGTAAACACGAAGAGATGAAGCATGGGGAGGGAACCATGGCACAGTGGTAAATCTCAGTCTTGAGTTATTATAGGTACAGCGTTGCATTAGCCAGAAGATACACTGTTGATCCAGACACTGCTCTGACATTAATTATTGTTGCAGAAGAATTCAGAAGATTGAATACAAACATGCGATGCTGGCAGAGATCAGTCATGCATCCAGATTAACCACGGAGTGTGTATCCGAGCCTCCGAAGAGGCTGCATTAACCCCTCCTCAGTCCACGCTGGAATCATCCTTGAGATGCACTGTCGGCCTTCTAGAGGGACCTCCAGCATCCCTCAGAAGACCCTGGATGCTAAAAAGAAATAACTCTTTTTTTTTTTTGGACTCTGACAATGTCTGCCATCATCCTAAAGAGAAGACCCAGCCGAAAATCCACCCTTGGCCTTTGATCCTTAGGATATGAATGGATTTGGACTCTCCCCTCTGTTTTCCCTGTAAGGCACACATGGGTTCAGAAGAGGCAGAGTGGAGAGGTACTGGAGGTCGAGAAGGTTCTGCGTAGGCCTGGGAGTTCCCAGCTGTTTGCTCTTCTCTCTTCTTTGCTTTCTTTTTGCCTCGTCCCTCTTTTACTTGCTCAGTGCTTTATAAAGCCCCCCCACACACACACGTGTATGCACACATGCACATACATGCACAGACACACACACGTGCTAATATGGTAGGTGCTAAGGACACGGTCTTCCAGTTGGAGAGGGTCCTGGCTCTGGCATTTAGTAGCTCCGTGACCTAGAGCAAATTACTCAGTGTCTTCATCCCCCGGTACCCGTATCCATCAAACACAGAGATCCTGCCTGTCTCATCGCGACTGGACGAGGGTGTGTGTGGAAAACCTGAGCCCGGGGACTGGCAAGTTTATTAAATGTCTGTTGTCCTGACTCACAATTCTCCATCCTGAACTCTTGGGGCCAAATGTGATTCAACAATGATTTCTTAATTTTATTTCAGAAAAGTAATACTGCACAACATTTCCAGTGGGATCTGAGGTAGCACCCTGTAATTAAGCTCCCTGATGTTTTTGCAATAAAATGTATGAATATTCACACTAAATGGAATAAATTAATATTATAAATAGCCCCAGGTTAGTTGAGGTAAGGTTTGCCTGTCAGATTAGTTTTCTACAAACTCAGAGGAAAAAGAAAACTCTCAAATTTCAGGGCTCTTGTGGATTTTAGAATTGCAGATAAGGGATTATGGACCCGTGGTGAGGACTCAAGTATCCTGAAGGGAGAGTCGGTAAACCACACAAACAGGGCAAACAATAGCGTATTTGCTCTTTAGGGCTGAGCTGTTGTGACAGGGCTTGGGAGGGCCAAGTGTGGTTTGTAATGTTTAGTCTTCTGTAAATGGACGTTTCTAGTATTTCTGTACGCACGCTGTTCAGATCTCGCTAGTTCACGGGTTCCGGCTCCCAACGGCATTCACAGATCATTTTGTTGCTAGTGTCATCCGCGTCCTAGCTGGTGGCAGCCTTGACCACCGTTTCTGCTGGTAGTGTGGCTGGTGAGGCTGGACCCTGTGAGGTAGAGGTGGCGCGGAGCGGGTGCCAGACTGGGGTCAGGAGGGCTGGCGTAGGTGCCAGAGCCCTGTTTCCCTGTCTCTCTCTTTCTCTCTCTCTGGACCTTTGTTTCTTTATAAGGTAAGAACTCTGTGTGTTCTGGATGCCTCGTGGGGATTTTAGAAGATGGAAATGAGGGAATGTGTCTAAGAGAACTTTGCAAATGGGAGCATTTCCTACGATTGTGAGATGTCATGTTTCTTTGAATGTCCTTGATCCCAATCATAGTTTTCTATTTTCAAGGACTAATCTTCGTATTTTTTATTTATGTGTTTATTTTATTTCAGAGAAAGAGAGTGTGCGTGGGAGAGGGGAAGAGGGAGAGAGAGGGAGAGAATCCCAGGTAGGCTCAATTCTCAGCATGGAGCCCACAGTGAGGCCCAACCCTACAACCCTGGGATCATGACCTGAGCTGAAATCAAGAGTCAGATGCTCAACCAACTGAGCCACCCAGGCATCCCTCAATAAGTGATCTTAATCGCCTCAATTCCAGTCTGGGCTCCTTTACTTGTTTTACTAGGTTTGTGTGACTTTGGGAAAGATACTTCACCTCTCTGTGCCTCAGTGTCCACCCCTGTTAAATGGACAGAGTTGTCGTAGGATCCGGTGAGGTGACTGCCTGTGTGCTATGAGGCCTCAGTGGTGGCTCCTTGTGTGATCCCAGGCTTGAACTAGACCCATGAGCCTCTGGGAACAGAGCTGGAAAACAGGGTCTAAATCTAAGCCCCTTTGTATGGCTTAGGTCAGTTACTGTCACCACTCAGTAAATAACATAGTAATGGCTTCAGAGACCTAAGAGTCACAAAGCTTTGGAAGGGCTCAGGTGTCTCCCAGTGGGTAGTAAACAGTGAGAACTTCAGCAGTACCTTTTGTTTATTAGGGAATGTATTTTTGCGTTTAGAAAGAGTGCTGCATGCATTGATTTTTATATGCTTTTCCCATTCTTTCTTCCCATAATTCCATAATTCCCACAAATCCTAGTGGACACACACCAATGTCACGTGGTTCATTAACATCCATCACATGCACTTTCTTATGTGGTTTCACAGTCCCTTCAGCCACCCAGTCCTTCAGCACATGTTTTCAAAGACATCTTGTGGACCCAGTGCTGTTTCAGGGGTCACTATCAAAGCAATGAGTAAAGAACTTGCTATGTGCCACTCATGTTCTAGGGGGAAGACAAATCAATAAATATATGTCACACCTGAAAAACAAGGATTAGAAGAAACTACCTCAAAACCCTAAAAGCTGAGTATGAAAACCCACCATGAGCATCGTACTCATTGGTGAAAGACAGTTTTTCCTCTAAAGTCAGGAACGAGACAATGGCGGCTGCTTTTACTGTTTCTATTCAACATAATAGTGCAAGTCCTAGCCAGACCGGCTAGGCATGAAAAATAAATAAAAGGCATCCAAACTGTAGAAGTAGTAAAATCATCTCTGTTTGTAGATGATATGATCTTGTGTATAGAAAACCCTAAAGATCCCACAAAAAACCTGTTAGAACTAATAAATGAATTCATCAAAATAGCAGGATAAAAAGCCAATCCACCGAAATCAGTTGCATTTCTGTATGCTATCAATGAACAATCTGAAGTGTGTATTATGAAAACAATTTATAATAGCATCAAAAAGAATAAAATACTTGGGAATTAACCAAGGAGGTGAAAGACATGCACAATGAAAACTAATTAAAGGAAAATGAAGAAGACATAAACAAATGGAAACATCCTATTTTCATGAATCAGGAAACTTAGTGTTAAGATATCAATACCATCCAAAATGATCTATGGGGTCAATGCAATCCCAATGAAAATCCCAATGACTTTTTTTCCCCAGAAATTAAAAAAACATTCTAAAATTCATATGTAATCTGGAGGGATCCCAAATAGTCAAAACAATCTAGAAAAAGAACAGGGCTGATGATTCAGACTTCCTGGCTTTAAAACATACTACAAAGCTACAGTAATCAGAGCAGTGTGGTACTAGCATAAAGACAAATATATAGACCAGTTAACTAGGATAAGCCCTCTTATTCATGGCTAAAACCATTCA